ACATTCATTCGGAACATCCGCATTTAGCCTACTCATGTAAGAGTTCAGCCTGCTGCAGTAGCCAGAGCGAAGTTGGGCTATTGTTGTTCTTGTCTCCCGAGGCAGATGGAGCTCCGTCGCGTCAATGTCTGGTGTTTGTGTGCCTAGAACGGCATTCACAGGTCTAGAATTCCCAGATGTAGCCTGACCTGGACTTCCTTCGTCCAGTTGGTGAACAAGGTCTCAGAGGATTTCGTTAGGGAGAGGGCTAGACACTTTGCTGGGAAGAAGCGAGAAAGATCGGAGAGATACCCCTTTACTTTCGAACACAGGTCATCAATTCCATTCCCAGTCGCCATGATCGAGCAATCGTCGGCGTAGGAGACAATAGAGACTCCCTGTGTTGGTTGAGGGAGCTTTGAAATATAAAAGTTAAACAGTAGCGGGGATAGGACACCACCCTGTGGAACCCCCTGTTTGATTTTTCTAAGTTTGCTCGATTTGTCTAAACATTACCGACGAGTGTCGACCACTCAGATAGTTTGCCGACCACCGTTTGAGCCTCTGTGGGAGAGAGGAAGCCTCTATATCTTCTAGTAGCGTGGAATGGCTGACTGTGTCAAAAGCCTTTGACAGGTCCAACGCTACTAGAATCGTTTTCTCACAGGGACGGTTACGGTTAAGGCCACGAGTTATCTGAGTGTTTATGGCGTTAAGTGCTGTTGTTGTACTGTGCACTTTACGGAAACCATGCTGATGCTTCGCTGGGGTCAGGTGGTTCGTGAAATACGGGAGCAGCAGGGCCTCTAGTATCTTCGCTACCGGGGAAAGGAGCGTTATCGGCCGATACGAATCTCCATTGTTGGCAGGTTTCCCCGGTTTGAGCAGTGGGACCACTCTCGCCACCTTCCAGATGTGATGAGAGTGGCCATAGACAAATTGAGGACTTCCGTTAGGTACGCTACTCCCGCAGGACCCAGCATCAGCATGCATATTCCGTCGGGACCCATGGCTTTGGAGTCTTTCGCCTTCCCGATGGCCACCTGAACTTCACCGCAAGTGAAAGCAAGGGAGGCACAATTTGTTGGCAGTTTGTGCAGCCTTCTGGTCACTCGACGCTTGGTTTTGTCAACCGGAGGATGTAGTATGAACTGCCGGCTAAAGTAGCGCGCGCATCGCTCCGGGTCCGACGAGGCATGGTCGCCGATAGAAATTTCGACTCTGTCGTCGTGCTTCGTCGGATTGGACAGTGACCTCACGGTTGACCAAAGCTTACTCACACCAGAGGTGAAGTTGCAGGTCTTCAGATGTTCTTCCCACTTCTTCCGCTTATGTACGTTCACTAGTTGCCGATTCTCCGCGTTGAGATCCCTGATACGGGGATCACCGGGATCGGCCTGACGAAGGCTGTCACGCTCATCGGCTAGGACAGCCGCTTCTTCAGGGAAATTTGGACGTGGGTCAGTGATGAGTCCTGCCGGTACGAAGCGGGCTGCAACAGCAGTGACAGCCTTGCGGAACTTACGTTCACCAAGGTGGACGTCGGTTGGTGTGTGGAG